TAAGAAGTGAGAACATTAGATTGGCATTTGGATATGTAACCACCAAATAGTTTTGCTTACTCTCTGTCGCCCTCAAGAGGCAAAATAAAGCCAAAGTAATGCAGCTTTAATCTCTCAGTACATTAAGTGAATCCGTCTCCTGCGGCGACGTGAAAGAGTTCATCCATCGTTCTTGGCGGGTCGCATCACAAAAACACAGAGATAGACTTACACAGCTGTGTTTCATTCAGCTTTATTCCTCTTTGTAACTTTAAAGTCAGCAGTCAGTAAGTTCACATGAGCTGATTCAAAACACATTCATGTTGTTTTAAATGTTTAATAATGATGTCCTTCGTATTGTGGTAACCGTCCTGGGTTTTAAATATTAACTTATCTTACACACAGTGGAAAGAAAAAAAAAAAAGCCCCACAGTAACCCCCCACCGACAGGGAACACACTGACCCAGCTGTGTTCCAACGTTTTGTTTTAAAAGTCCTCAGCAGGTGGAGGGCAAACAAAATTTTTTTAAAAAGATCCTACACGTACAGCACAACACACTGTTTTACTGGCAGACTACACGTCTCCCATCCGGCTCATGAAACATTTAGAGAAACACCGATGGACTATGACAACTTGTTTCCACCCTTTGTCACTTGAATCCTCTTTTTTTTAGTCTTGAACATCCAATCGACTCGCTAATAACGTCTTTTCCAACAGAATCAATTTCCACTTCCTGCAGCTGCACCGTGAAAATGGGTATTCAGACATCTTCTCACAGCTGGAAACTCCTGAGCAGTAAGAAATAAGGGCAGTGGTCGGAGAAACTGTACCGCGACAGAGAGGTCAGAGGTCGTAGGTTCCATCAGCACACCGGCAACTCTGAAACCAAGATGCCGATTCACCGGAAAAACATAAGAAAATGTACAAAAACAGGCATTCGTGTGCATAAAATACATTTTAAAAACCAAAAACTTTGTCCTACTTTCTGAACACCATCTGTAAGTCTGAAAAATCTACCTTGGAATTGACTGTGAGCTAACCTCCTCCCCTTTCACAATAATGCTAACCTGTTGAAAAGTGAAACAATTTGTGGGCGAACATTTTGAATCCGGAGCAGCTGGTGATCCTTTTAGAGGACATTTAAACAAAGAAACAGCATTGCTCTTGTTATTTCATTCTAATTACAGCCTAACTGATGTCTTGGTTGGCGAATATTACTGGACAGTATTGGAGCTAAGCCCTGTATGAGCGAAGTGCAGCGCATGTAGCAGAGAACAGGACACAGCTAAGACGATGGCGGTCAAGTGGCGTCTTCATGGCAAGTTGTCAAGTAGTTTGTGAAAAACATTGCTGGTAGGTTAATAACAATCAACTTTTGACAATTACACTCATAATTTTCCCTTTTTTAGCACGTGGCCGACAGTGGAATTTTTTATACTCCCTAAATATCCGTATGGACCCAAAAATCTTGTCAATCAGTTACTTCTAACACAACAGCTTTTACTTTTTTAGCTGACAGTATATTTACAACTACTTTTAATGTTTTTTCAAAAAAGTTATTTTCACTTTTAGCATTTCAAACTTTTCGGGCGACAACAAAATAATATGTTTGGAAAGTAATGCTATCTTGGCTAACGACTCAGGCTATGGTTGCTAAAGTTGTTCGAACTCTGACGGCATTCCGGACTGGTTTCGAGGGTATGGGAAGTACTACACAGTGATAATAATATAATGGTAATATTTTTAACATGTAGCACAATAAACTAATGTAGTTAGCTAATGATAAGCCTTCTGGGCCTCTGCTCTTTTCCCGCTGTGGCTAGTTAGCTAGGTAAGCTAACAACTGTTTAATCGCTTTCACTCTTAGCTTTGGAAAAGCTTGAAAAAAAAATACAACCGCATCCAACGTCTTTGAATGCAAATCATCGATCTTGCTATAATTTAATGCACACCAATTCGTTATGACAGAAATACAATACGCTGCATGCTATGCTAAACAGTTACGGATCAGAGGAGACGATTAGCAAACAGTCAATTAGCATATTTGCTGACAGTAGGAGAAGCCAATAGTTAGCTCAGGGCCATGTAAGCACTATATGTTCAATGGAATGAGCGTGAGGAACCCTGTTATGTCAGTTAAGATCGCTGTGGTTTGCATAAATTAGGACGATTAGGACTACAGAATACAAAAGACCTTCATAGAAAAACAGAAAATTCTACTAGAAGTGGAAAAAATCCCCAAAATGTTTAAAGGCATTTTTACAGGCTGTTCACTACAGATCGATGCCGTTGTACCCATGCAGAAAAAGACGCCACCAAAAATTGAGCTTTGCTCTAAAGTTCCAGTTTCTATCTTCAGACTGTAAAACCTCCCAAAATAAAAACATGAAGGCAAATCCAAACGGAATATACAGTTTTAAGAAGAAAAAAAAAAACAAATAAAAAAAACAAAACAATATTTGTACAGTTTAATACATACATAACTTAAAAAAGATAAATATCACCTATTTTTTGTTTTATGTACAACAAGTCAGTGCTTATTCAATGACAGCATTGTCGTAGTTTCTCAAACTCCGCTCACTGTGTCATTTAAGCGCTTCAAACTTGAAGTGTGAATCTTTATTAAAGGCGTCGGCAGCAGGCAAGGTAATAGTGGTGCTTTTGTCTGACCGGATACCACCATATGGACTTGAACTTCAGTTTGAAAATGTACTTTAAGCCAGAGGTGAACAGTAAAGGGAAGGAAGGATTTGAGTTCTTTGTGTATGTATTTTGGATGTTCTCCAGTCTACTTCTTCCTGCTTGTGCTTTGTTTCAAAAGCTGCCTGCTGATTCAGACCCTCATACATTTTCCTTCTTCCCCTTGACGTTGCTTCTTTTCTTTGTCTCCAGCTGGTTAACTGCCAGAGCCTTCCTTTACGGCCAGTTTGGTCCATGTTGTACTTACAGGACAGGTGACACATTAAAGGAAAAATCAAAACAAAGCCTTCTAATATCGTTGGGCTACCACTTGCTGCCAAAACAACGTCAATGCACCTTGGCGCTGATTCCCAAATTCTCTGGAACGCTACTGGAGGGATAAACACCATTTTTTTTCAAAAGATACTCTCACATTTGGTGTTTTGAAGATGGTGGTGGAGAGTGCCGTCTAACAAAGTCTTCCCTATGTATTCAACTGACTAGAGATCTGTGATGATCACATCACTTCCATTCTCATCCAACCATTCAGCGACCCTTCGTATGGATGAGCGCTATCATCCCAGAAGAGACGACTCCCATCAGAAAGTGAAACATCAGTCAGTTGAGCAGGCTTTGTGACTAAAGCTCCTGCCATCTGTGCCCCAACGATGAACCCTTATTCAAAGTCACTTAGACATTTTCCTCTTGCCAGCCAGGCTAGCTGTACAAAATGAGAACCAGTTGGGCACGTCACTATTTTTATACATCTCACGTAGCATAATTTAATGTTGATTACCCAACTGTACCATCTGCATTCATTATGTTTCTCCACTCATCAGATATTTCCTTCAATTTCCTGTCTGTATATGCTGAAGTTCTTCTGGATAATAAAGGAGTCAGTATGCTTCAGATTAAGTGCTTGTCATTCCAACACCGACAATATGGCGAGCACTTCATGCTGCAATCGACCAGGTGTTCTCTACAGCTCTCACTTATCTTCAGTCACTTCTTGATGTACTTGTAAGTGCAACAACCTTCAAGGTTAGACTCAAAGTGTGCACTGTTATCCCCATTTGAACTATCACCATAGAAACTAGTTTGTTTCAGGCATAGTAGAGCTTTAGTCAGTCCACAGATCTGATGAATCTTGGAATATACAGGCACACTAAGTTCTTTTCAATCACATTCCTTTAATCTTCCTCGGTTATCTTTACACATTCGACTCTACAAAGGGTCTTTTTGGTTTGACAGGGGAGGTAGGACCAGTCCGTCTCTCGGTCGGTCTGTCAGAGCAGCTGTGGATCACCGGCAGCGTTCGGGCCACCTTTACGTCCAGGTAGGAGGGGTTCTGACTGGCAACATGGACCGAGCCTTCCCCCTGACGAATGTTACCAGGCACCACTTCGTAGTAGTCGAGCTGGTTGTCGTGGAGGAGATTACCGTTATGGGCATTGTTGTTGCTGCGGTTGTGGTAGGCGATGGACGACGGCTGGGGTGGGGCAAAGCCTCCCTGGTTGGTGGGGTTCTTGCTGGGCGAGGTGACTACCGTGTCCACTGACGACACCGCCCAGGAGCGAGAGGGGCTGAGGCAGGAAGCTGAACTGGAAGGAGCCTGTTGCTGATACTGCTGGTTTACCCTCGCTGTCTTATCGATTACACCCATAAAAGGAGTGTTCCTAGATGAGCGCCCCGCCTCTCCAGGGTATGTACCGCCTCCTGCCATGCATATGTCTGACTGAGGAGACGAGATCAGAAAGAGATCATCATGATAAGCTGTCACGCCTCCCACAGAGGCCAGTTCTGAAGACGGATCCATGTGCTGGGCGGAGGCTGAGGTCCTGAAGCCTGATCCATGGCTAGGTGACGGCCCGCTAGCAAGGCTGCCGCTGCTGGAGGAGAAACGGACGCTGACGCTTTGGGAGTGGATAAGAGGTCTCGGGGGAGCAGATGAGGAGGTCGGGTGGGCGCTAAGCGGGCGTCGAAGCATGCCCTGATGGTGGTACTGATAATCGTGCGATGACTGAAGCCTATCAGCAGGCCCCATTGCTGACTCTGTAACTTCCATGGGGTAGTAGGCTGCTTTGGACTGGTTGCGGCTGAACTGACGGGCCTGGCCGAAACGATTAACTCCTGCCCTCTCTGCTTCTGCCCCTCTCCCATAGGCAGTTGTAGGTCTCACTTGACAAACCAGGTCAACGTCAACATCATCTAGTGAGTATGAAGCTCCAGAGCTCAAACCAGCCTGGACCTGCAGGCTAGACCTGACATCTAGGGGGCTTGGGCAGAAGCCTTCTCCAAGCTCTGCTAGTTCTTGGGGCAGATGGGCAAACTGGGAGTAAGCAGAACTTCCTACAACCATGCTGGAGTGGGCAGAGGAACTGGGTTGGTTGGTTCTGACAACCTGAACTTTAGCTGGTTGAAGCCACTGCCCTTGGACAGGGTTCGGCCTCTGGAAGGACCTCTGGTTGGCCAAATGGTGGAGCTGCTGCACTCCCTGGTTTTGGTCTGAGGGATGGACAGCTGAGATGGACTGTGGATGGTGATGCAGACCTCCACTTCCTGGCATATTTTCAGACATTGGGCTGGCTCGCTGCTGATGCTGCATTGGGGAAGGAGGAGGACTGAAGTGGTGATAGGAGGTGGAGGAGGGAGGAGGAGGTGCAGAGTGACTGGGAGAAGAGAGGGAGGCTGAGTGAGTAGGACTGGGAAGGTGATGATACAGGTGAGTGGGGGAGATGGAGGATGGCGACGGCCCCCCAGACCGGCAGCGCGTGTCAAGACTTTGAACCACAGGTTGAGGGTGAAAGGAGGAGTCTTGCCTGAGACTCATTTCCTCCTCGTTCTCCTCTTCCTCCTCTTCCTCAGTAAGGCCCTCCCTGTCCTGTACCTGCAGACATCCTGAATCTCTGCTCCTGGCCTCGCTGATGGACACGGCTACGTTTTGTTGATAAACGAGATGAGCTGAAGGAGGGGGAGACTCTTGTTGTTGTTGTGCAGCCTGCCGGCACTCTTCCTTGACTCGAGCCAGCAGGCGCTGGATCTCCCGGTTGGATGGGCACAGGCGGCTGGCCTCAATCAGGTCCTCCAGGGCTGCATGGAATTGTCTGAATGGTGAGAGAACAACAGCAAAGACAGAGAGGATACTTTAGAAGATGACGTAAACAGAATGTCTGTTGCCCAAAGGAACTGACGCAACTTTACCGATAATCTTGTGCAGCACAGCACACGCAGTGACTACAGTAGGATGCTAAATTGCAGGTGGTTGTGGCGATAACAGAGCAGACCACCTCTGACAACAGACGCAACAGACATTCAAGCACCCACATCACAGTCACAGATTGTCATTTGTCCAATTTGTTGGTTGCCAAGCTTCAAGCCTTCGTTGAACTGAACACCCCCCTGTCAGCGGGAAGGTAGTCAAGTTCCCTGTTTGCCATTTAGTAGATATTATGTCCTGTTAATAACTGGTATAGCCAGTACCAGACTTGGTGGTAATTAAACACTAATTTGGACCTATGAAACTACCAAAACAGAAATGTTCAAGGCTTTCCCATCATCCTTTCTTCCCAGCATGCCCATTGTAGTGTCAATAACAACAAATACTACGACTGTGGAGGACCTGGAGCTGCCAAAGTCCCAAAAGATGATGAAAGAAAATTACATTTTTGGGTAGTAAGTGTATAGCAACATGTATGTTGTTGCCACTGCACACCACCTACTGGCTAACCTATATAAACCACATTATAATGGTCTGATGGTCTCAGCACACTCTTAAAAACATCACACATCCTTTCATCTGGCGCTTCCAGCTGGATATCAACATACATAATTGCCTACTAGATTAATATAAAATAGAAGGAGCACTTGTTGAATCGGTTCTGGTTATATTTGTCCCATTCAGCTACTCTTCCTTATGACACCACGGTTTACCTGCGGCTGCGTTTGGCGCGGGCTCTGGCATAAAAGGCTTCATAGGATTTGGCTTTCAGCTCCAGAGCCTTGGTAGCAAACTCCTCAGCAAGAATAAAGTCCTGCATGAACAAAAAAAAACAAGAATTAACGAAGGTACATCAAGACTGCAGACAAGATACTGTGAGAGGTGAGCTTTATTTCAAAATAAAACGACAAACACAACTTTCTTGGCCTGAAACTAAAGCACATCGTGGTTTGTTTGTGTTCGACACGAGGACTCACGTTCATCTTGCGGCGGCAGCGTGACAGGTTGAGCAGCACACACACTCTCAGCTGTCGGAACGTCTTTAGCTCGTCTCCTGGAAACTTCTGGAGCGCCGACTGATACGAGTGAGCAGCTTCCCTCACTTTACCTTGCTAGAAATACACAGAGAGAATGTTTACGATGTCATTTAGTTGTCTGGTTAATATGTGATTACGTTTAGTCTGTGCCTGAGTGTGTTACCTTGTACAGTCTGTCTCCTTCTTGGATCAGTTTACTGAGCAGAACCATTAAGATATCTGGTTTAGAGGTTGCCATGGCCCAGGTTGCTGGTCCTACACACAAACACACAGGTCAGTGGATATGTTCATGTTTGACTGAAATGAAAGTAGTTAAGAAGCAGGTAATTTGCTCTTGGTTTGGACAGCACCAAACTATCTAAACCAAGAACAAATATGAGACTTAATCCTATCAGTATGATAATATGATGCTCTGTGGCCTTGTGGTGAAGCTTCATGCTGTACAACAACAACAGCTGTGGTTTGATTCTAGCCGGGACATTTCTTGAATGTCTCGTGGTCGTCCCATCTCCAACTCTGACATTACCGTTAAATCAAACAAAAACAACAGAATGGTAGGAATAGCACGACTCCGTTGTGTTTCTACCTATCTTGGCTCCCTTTCTGAGCAGAGCGATGACCGCTGAAGTGTTCCTGCAGCCAACTGCTCGGTCCAGAGGACGCATCCCGCTGCAGTCCACGTGCTCCACAGACGCACCGTGATCCACCAGGAATTGCACCTACCACGGACAAGGACACAAATACGAGCTACATTTAGCACGTTTAACTGACATAGAAGGCTTTTATTTTCAAGATTTCTGCTCTAGCAGGTGCATCACCAGCTTCCTTCACTTTTGTCATAAATAAATAACCTATTAGAGCTCACAAAAGGGCACTACATCACAGTGTCCTTGGTGGTCTCTGCGTGGCAGGTAAGGGAGAAACACTTTCTCTAAAATATGGCAGATGCTGTCACAAATACATCTCTTTTACGCACCACTTCTGGGTCGCCGCAGAAGGCAGCCAGGTCCAGAGGTGTCCGCCCGCTGCGATCAGCGTGAGTTGTGGTCGCGCCCCTCTCCACCAGCTCTCTGACCAATGGGAGCTGGCCTTTGAGGCACGCCCAGCTCAGCGCCGTCAAACCTTCTCTGTCGTTCTGCTCCAGAGAGGCTCCTAAGAAACAGAGAGAGGCGTCTCAGTGTACATCAGGGTCAAAGATTGCTGGAATCAGAGGAAGACTTTATCAAAGAGGAAGCCGGTTGGATTTCAAATAACAGGGTGGAGATTACCTGTAGAGCATGTTGGCATGGCAAATCCATTATAATGTACTGTATCTCAACAGCGTCTATTCACATCAGTTCAACAATAGACTCGTGTTATTGTTGCCGCTCTCCTGCTGAGGATCCGACGTGCAAATCCACATTTCAGACCCAATAATCACATCAATGAGCTTCAGTGAAAGTCAAACAAAAACAACACTTCTGCAGTACGCCGATCGATTTAGCGACAGACAAATAATCAAGGACAAAAATCATTATAATCGCACTTCAGAAAAGTAAAAAATATCGTTAAATAAATGCAAGAACTGCAAGAGAAAAATAAACGATCATAGACACTGAGCATATTGTGTAATCTCACATCTGACTCTTCAGGTTAGCAGCAAATTAGCGAAGAAAATCTTTAGTTCTAATCCATCATCTAAACTGTGAAGCTAACTCAAATCTCTCAATCCATAACCTAAGTGATAATATCAATCTGTGGTGGACCTTTATGCACACACCCCTCAACTAAATAACCAATTGTTTTGCTACACTAGCTAGACAACATGGAGGACGTGTTAGGATGGCATTAACAGCTGATTTAAACACAGAAAACTGGGAGACTTTTTTTTTTTTTTAGTAAAATAGAAATGCCGGTCTCTAGGTTTCTCTAGTTTAAGAAAGATGGTGGCCATCATTTGTGGATTTATAGAGTTTCAATATTTATTTCATGTGGTAAATACAAAAAGAAACTTAGCTGGATGATTATAATGTGTAATTGTACTGTTGCGGCCACTGCTGTTCCTGGTGAGGTGGGTGGTTACCGTGATCGAGCAGCAGCTGGGCGGTGGTCATGTGTCCCTCTGAGGCCGCCGCCATCAGAGCTGTCCGACCCTGCTGGTCGACCATGTTCACCTCCACCCCGTGATTCAGCAGCAACTCCACCACCTGACACGTAAGGAGACACAAACTGAGGATATCTGCAGCAGGAATCATGCGATCGCGTGTCCGTTTGTGTCCGTCCTACCTGCCAGTGGCCTCGTTTCACGGCACTGAAGAGCGGCGCCACTCCCTGCCTGTTGCCTTGCTCAACAGCAGCCCCCTGGTCCAGCAGCAGCCTGCAGACAGACAACCTGCCACGTCCTGCTGCTGCTGTCAGAGCTGACAAAGACAGACACACATACAGAGAAGACATGCTGAGTAAATGTCAACAGTGTCAAACAGCAATCAGTGGTTCCAAAATGTTTCCTGGGTCAGCTACCTGAACACTGGCACACCTGCTTATTAATGCAATTAGCCAATCATCTGGCAGCAGTGCAGCCAAATGTGTCAAAACTCATCGGGCAGCGTTTTGTTATTTTGCAGGGCGATGATTTTAAAAACATACGGCCAAAGCAACAAAAGAGCTTTATGAGGTTTACAAGTGGAACACACTCAACCAGCCAAGTCGATTACATCAATCTGACTGAGCTGCAGCCAGCTGGATTTATTTGTGAACCCGGTAAAGTGCAGGTTTCTCCAGAAGAGGTCAGCAATGTGTAGCACAGCAGCCACTGACTGACCAACCGAGATGTGTTGTCTGTATGAATGAATGCAGCCCAAACAGTAACAAACAGATACAATATTTGTTCATATAAACGACCTCTTAGCCTGATAATGTCACATAAAAACATCCTTTTTTTCCACCATGAACTCTGTGGCTCGATCAGGCTTCTGGTGTAAAAGGCTGTTTTTGTGGGTGAACCCTTGAGAACAATCTAACAAACTGTGACACCACATACGTCTGGAGCGTGACCTCAGGACCGAGAGCATTCAATCTTTGTGGCTGATAGGATCTGTCCTTTCCAACATCAGTGTTTCGCTATAAATTCCCTGTGTGTGATGCTGTTCTGGGGGACACTCTGTCCTTCCCTTTATCTCCTGGTCATCGCTTCTCAGTGCGTTTATCAGACTGTCGCTACACAGAAGGACCGGGAAAGACTGATGCAGCGTGTGTTGTTTTAACAAAGGGATTTTTTTTTTTTACATTTTTGCTCAACAATTTTAGCATGAACATTTTTTTAATTATTGGATTTTATGTTGGAGCCTGCCTTCTCATGCACGACAATGCAAACAGCCCAAGCCTCCAGACTCCCCAAACCCCAACGCAATAGAACAACAACAGGATGCCCACTAATCCTCACAACCCCCAGGACACTCCCAGGGGTCCTGTGTCGATGGCCCATTGGGTCATTATGCAGGTGCTGACTGATTGATGCATTTGTATATAAATACTGACACTGGGATCAAGATCAATAGTATTAATGCAGCATCAACAGTAGTCTGAGCTGCACAAATACTTACAGTGGCAAAGAATAATGTAATACCCATAAACCGTATATAAAAGATGGATGGATGGAAGGATGGAGCCTCTAGGTCTAAAAAGTGCATTTTCTCAAATACCCAGCAGGGGGAAATTCCTCTGGTTGCATAAAAAAGTCAGACTACACAGAAGTCTATGAGAAATAATCCGACTTCTCACTTAATTTTCTAACTCAGTAAACTCTTCCATAAAGACTCATCAGCTACAGGTCTCCTTGAATACAGCACGATGTTGAGAATTATGGCTCCGCTTACGGTGAAACAGACGATAAAACAGGGTAGTTGTTGCTACCCTGTGATTGACAAGTTGCTATTGATGTCCGTAGTACCTGTCTCTCCCCACAGACTGTCGTATATGTTAATCTCAGGTCTCTCCTCTTCTTCCTCATCTTCCTCTGGAAGATCCAGCAGGTATGACATTGTCTGCAAACACAAGCAAACATTCGTTATAGCCACACACATACGTGTGGTAAATGTGTTTTCAGAATTCACTCTATAAAGGTTAGTGTCACCTCCGTGTGGCCCATGCTGGCTGCTGCAATCAGAGCCTGCTGCACCGCCTGGCTCCTGCTCGCCCCTCTCTCACCGCAGCAGGAGGTGCAGCTCCAGTCCGCCCGCCTCAGCAGGAAGCGCAGCACCTCGAGGTGGCCTCGCTGGGCGGCGTGAACCAGCACGCACCGGCCTGAGCTGTCCACATGGCCCACCTGAGTGCACAGGGAGACACAGATTTAGAGTCCACTCCCTTCCTGGGTTAGTGTCACTGTTTAAGAACTGCAGCATTCATATTGTGTAATTCCAAGATTTAGATGGCAAGCTTAATGCAGGAATCAGGAAACAGGTTTATCTGCATTTCAACACAATGTGTTATTATTGTCTGTATTATTGTTTTGTTTTTTTTTTAATAATAGAGATATACATAGGGGTGGTTCTGCCTCTGTACGTGGTTTGCCAGCTGCACAGTGGCAAATAGGAAAGAACTCCAGAGGGTCACCAAAATGGCTGAGAAGGTCACTGGGTGCCCTCCACCTACACTGGAGGACCTTCATGGCTCTTTCTGCCTCAGGAGACTCTCACCACCTGGGACACTTCCTGTTCGAGCTACTGCCGATGGTACAGGGCCATTAGAACCAGGACTAACAGACTGAAGAACAGCTTTTTTCCAACTGCTGTCAGAGCCATAAACGCCTCCTTGTCGCAATAAGTGCAATATATTGTTAATGTACAACTGCCACTACCTCTGTCTAATATCCACTCTGTGCAATAACACTGTGCTTATGATTTAATTTAATCTTTTTCTATAGTTTTTTTATATATATATTTCTTTTGTATTGTATATAATGTTTACAAAGCTTTTATTTATTTATTTATTTTCCACTAAAAGGCCTGCCCCTTACTTTTCGTTGTACTCGTTGCAATGACAATAAAACGAATCTGAATCTGAATCTTGATAAGAAGTGTTGGGGCTCAATCTAAAAATGTTCTGAGAAATGATCATATTTTAGCTGCTGCACATGCTACCGACACTTCAGATCACACTTTCANCTGCTACAAGTGCATTACAGTGCAGAATGCCTGGAGGCCGATCCACTGCACATGTATGAAACGTGTCCTAAAAGGTCATATAACAACAACGGCTACATGTCCTTGGTGTCTGCAGCCATCTCACAGATCAACACGGTTTATCTTGTTTAATTCACACTAAATCAAAGCCGAATAACCAACAGATTATTTCTTACTTACTTACCGTAGTCTTTGCATTGTTGTGAGGTCGCCTGGTTGACACAATGTTAAAGAGGCAGTGGGTAGAAACCTGTAAAGACAAAGAGAGAAACAAAACAAAAAAAGCCACACTTTTGATATACAGCACTTCAGTTCTGCCCTCTTTGTCCCAAAGTCTTCCCCACCAGACAAACATGCAAAGATAGTTTCATTCATTTACTCGGGAATCAACCTACCACATACATCCCACTGCTACTGCAGCATTTGTTGCCGTTGATACTACCTCACATGCTCTGGATCAAAAGCCTTGTGATTGGCTAAAATATCCCATCATGGGCTAAATTTCCTAAAGTCTGGAAATGGATCCAAGGGGAGGTTTGGAAGGCTAGCTTTATCTTGGAGCACCTGCCAAAAAGTTAGTATGGAAAAGACCAGTGATACCGAAACAAAAAAAACTCCTATCCCAGCTTTAATATCGTAAGAAATACATGAACACAACAGTCAGAATGGTGCGACTATGCATGATTACTTTTGATACCCTGAATATATATTGTGTTCTGTAAGCCACTATTTGCTAACGTGTTTTTGCCTATATTGAAATGTTGACAACTCGTTTCCGGCGTACACAAATGGAAAAAACAAACAAAAACAAAGCAAAACTGAAGTCACTTCATGTAGATTTAAAGACATGATGAGGACTTCTCCCACCACTGCTAAAACAAAGCTATAAGAAGTGAGAACATTAGATTGGCATTTGGATATGTAACCACCAAATAGTTTTGCTTACTCTCTGTCGCCCTCAAGAGGCAAAATAAAGCCAAAGTAATGCAGCTTTAACCTCTCTGTACATTAAGTGAATCCGTCTCCTGCGGCGACGTGAAAGAGTTCATCCATCGTTCTTGGCGGGTCGCATCACAAAAACACAGAGATAGACTTACACAGCTGTGTTTCATTCAGCTTTATTCCTCTTTGTAACTTTAAAGTCAGCAGTCAGTAAGTTCACATGAGCTGATTCAAAACACATTCATGTTGTTTTAAATGTTTAATAATGATGTCCTTCGTATTGTGGTAACCGTCCTGGGTTTTAAATATTAACTTATCTTACACACAGTGGAAAGAAAAAAAAAAAAGCCCCACAGTAACCCCCCACCGACAGGGAACACACTGACCCAGCTGTGTTCCAACGTTTTGTTTTAAAAGTCCTCAGCAGGTGGAGGGCAAACAAAATTTTTTTAAAAAGATCCTACACGTACAGCACAACACACTGTTTTACTGGCAGACTACACGTCTCCCATCCGGCTCATGAAACATTTAGAGAAACACCGATGGACTATGACAACTTGTTTCCACCCTTTGTCACTTGAATCCTCTTTTTTTTAGTCTTGAACATCCAATCGACTCGCTAATAACGTCTTTTTCCAACAGAATCAATTTCTACTTCCTGCAGCTGCACCGTGAAAATGGTTATTCAGACATCTTCTCACAGCTGGAAACTCCTGAGCAGTAAGAAATAAGGGCAGTGGTCGGAGAAACTGTACCGCGACAGAGAGGTCAGAGGTCGTAGGTTCCATCAGCACACCGGCAACTCTGAAACCAAGATGCCGATTCACCGGAAAAACATAAGAAAATGTACAAAAACAGGCATTCGTGTGCATAAAATACATTTTAAAAACCAAAAACTTTGTCCTACTTTCTGAACACCATCTGTAAGTCTGAAAAATCTACCTTGGAATTGACTGTGAGCTAACCTCCTCCCCTTTCACAATAATGCTAACCTGTTGAAAAGTGAAACAATTTGTGGGCGAACATTTTGAATCCGGAGCAGCTGGTGATCCTTTTAGAGGACATTTAAACAAAGAAACAGCATTGCTCTTGTTATTTCATTCTAATTACAGCCTAACTGATGTCTTG